CAGGGAGACTGCAACAGGCCGACCAAGCGGCGTGAGTGTGGTTTGGTCCCGAAAGAAGGAGCGAGAAGCCCCAGAGTCAAGTGTAAAGGTGAGGGAGGCCGAAGCCAACGCGGTACCTGAGAGCGCAGCCTCACCCGCACCTGAGGACGCAGACTCACTAGCACCTAGAGCAGCAGCCGCACCTGTACCTGGAGCAGGAGACTCACGAGCACCCAGAGCAGCAGCAGCCTCACCAGTAGCTAGAGCAGCAGGTCCTATACCCGGGTCAGGCGGTACGCACAGGTGACCGGCACGGTCAGCACTAGTAGGCAATGCATACATGGCAGTGAGAATAGCATCATAGTCAAGAGCAAATATATCTACCCTCTGCCTAAGCAACTCCACCCAGTCGGGGAGCTCAGCCTCGTCGCCAAACACGGTACGCCAGGCGTCGCTCAGACGGGCTGTGTATGACTAGGTGTCCCACAAGGCTGACCAGTCCGAGCACCAGTGAGAATCACGTAAGAGCAGCGAACAGAACTGAGAGACCCTCCACTCTGAGCGTACCACTCACGAAGCTGCTGAGGCGTGAGAGACGCGCGGGGGGGTCGCGGGAGCTGCATCTGGCCGCCACCAGTAGCAGAAGCAGCAGGAGTGGTAGCAGTAGTAGCGCCACCACCCCTACAGCCCCAACCAGCGTACCACTCACGCAGCTGCTGGGGCGTGAGGGACCCACGCAGACGTCGATGGGGCTGCATCTGGCTCCACCAGTAGAGGCAGGAGCAGGAGTAGCAGCAGTAAGGCAGGCAGCCAGGCAAGCCAAAAAGGGAGGCAGGCAGGCAAGCAGGCGACGCGCAGCGTGCTAGCAGGGCAGGGGCTCACCAGTGGTGGGTAGAGTAGGCTCGGCGACTCAGCGGCTCGGCAGCACGGCGGCTCTACGGCTCGGGCGACTCGGGCGGCTCGGCGGCAGGGCGGCTCGGCAGCAACTGCTGCTCGGCAGCTCGGCGACCCGGCGGCGCGGCTGTAGGGTGGCTCGGCTGTAGAGCGGCTCGGCTGCAGGGCGGCTCGGCTGCTGGGAGGCTCGGGTGTAGAGCGGCTCGGCGGCGAGGCGGCTCGGCTGCAGGGCGGCTCGAGACGAAGGAGGAGGAGAAGCAGGGGAGACCACACACCTGCCACCCCTCAGCGGCCCCCGAAGGAGCCGCGACGGGCGACGGGAAAAGGGGGGGGGGGGGGGGGGGAGGCGGCTCGGGCGGCTCGGGCGGCTCAGGCTGCACGGCGGCAAACGGGCGGCGTGGGGGGGGGGGGGGCCGGGACGGCGGCGTGCAGCAGGGACGGGCGGCGCACGGGCGGTGTGAGGCCGGGACGGGTGAGGGGCCAGGACGGGCGGCGTCCTGGCGCCGAGGGGCCGAGACAGGAGAGCGCGGCCGGGGCGGGCGGCACAGGGCGGCTTGGGGCCGAGACGGGCGCGCGCGGGTGGCTAGGGGCCGGGACGGGCGCGCGCGGGTGGCTAGGGGTCTGAACGGGCGGCGCGCGAGCGGCTAGGGGCCGGGACGGGCGGCGCGCGGGCGGCTAAGGGCCGGGACGGGCGGCGCGCGGGCGGCTAGGGGCCTGAACGGGCGGCGCGTGAGCGGCTAGGGGCCGGGACGGGCGGCGCGCGGGCGGCTAGGGGCCTGAACGGGCGGCGCGCGAGCGGCTAGGGGCCGGGACGGGCGGCGCGCGGGCGGCTAGGGGCCTGAACGGGCGGCGCACGAGCGGCTAGGGGCCGGGACGAGCGGCGCGCGGGCGGCTAAGGGCCGGGACGGGCGGCGCGCGGGCGGCTAGGGGCCTAAACGGGCGGCGCGCCAGCGGCTAGGGGCCGGGACAGGCGGCGCGCGGGCGGCTAGGGGCCTGAACGGGCGGCGCGCGAGCGGCTAGGGGCCGGAACGGGCGCGCGCGGGCGGCTAGGGGGGCCGCAGGGCAGGCCGAAAGAGTGAGAGCGAGGGCCCGGAGCGCGCTCCGGGCAGAAAAAAAAAAAAAGGTTTAAAAGTGGTGGGCCCTAAGCACAGTTCCCACGGGGGAACCTGCTCGATACCATGTGGAGAATAGAACGAGGATGAATGAACTATGAGTGAAGTGAGTACAAATAGCAAAACCCTAATTGGGTTGTACCCCCTATGGTATACCCCACTGTAGTCTACACAACAGCATAAGCTACATATATGTTCTGACAGAACCATCATGGCGTTCTCGCAACTTGTCGCCGCAAACTCCACGTGCCGACGGGCTTCTCGGGGCTCCCGTAGGCTTAATGCGCTCCTGTTCCCTCCCATGCCGGGCATCGGTTGGGCTGCGCCGTCACTGGCTGCGCCTGAGCGCTGTCCCGTGCTGTTGTGTTGCGTTGGTGTGCCGGATGAGATGGCGATGGGCTCCTCCAAATGTGCAGATGCATTGGTTTGTGCGTGTGATGTCGTCGGTACGTTCACCGTTGACTGTTGACGGGCGGAGTCACGTTCCGCCGTGAGAGTCGCGATTTCGAGCGCCGAATCCTCCAATTGACGCACGAGACGATCGAGTTGCTCCTGCGTCAACGTGGCGAGATTGAAATCGGCCATGGCGGGGGTGTCGGGCAAGCTCAGCGAGAGCCTCGGTCGTGGCCGTGCGTGCTTTCGAGAGAGCACTACGAGCGGCGGTGCTGTGTCGTTGAGAGACGTCTACCCCCCCCAAAAATTGAGATAGTGGGAAGCGAAGGTGTGGATGCGGTCTGAGATGAGATCGTAGGCTCTGAATACCAAGTGTTACGAGTGCAATTGAGTGAACGAACGAGAATTGCACTATCGAAGCAAGAATACAATTGAGCGAAGGCATGAGCGAACATTATATAGCGAAACTATAGTGGTAACGGTAATGGTCGCGCGACGAGCCTGGGACTGAGGTTGGGAAAGTGTCGAAGCGTAGGCCCGGAGCGCGGGTTACCAGCCGAGCCGTGAGGTCGGGATGCGATGTGCGAAAAGGGCGGGATGATGAATGATGCGATGTTCGTGAGTGGTAACGGTGCTGACTGAGGTGCTACAGTGATGTACGCGTTGAGCAGGGACGCGAAGTAAGGAAAAGGGGATTTCCTTACAGTAACCCTAATCTCCACTCTCAGAATCGCCCAGAAATGACGAGTGGCCAATTTTGGCAGAGTGTATTCGCAATTGGCCCGGGTTACCGTTCGCGAAACATGTCGAATGTGATTCGCGATACGAATTTTGTGTGGGCGGGGTGATGAGTCCGCAAGGTACAACTTCGGTTGGCGCAGTGCTGACGCGCTGCGTTTTTTTTTTCGTCAGAGTGTTCACTTCGCTGCTTTGTCAAAGCTACGTAACAATTACTATTTTCCCCAAATGAACTCATGGGACACGCCCTAACTTCTATTCACAGCCACCCACTTACTTGCCACGATCCTACGAATTGAGTGCAATATGGAATTCAACCCATTCACCAGCCAGCGTCCAAAAATTGCTGCTCGTGGTTTGGATCCGCCAGCACGCGTGTGTTCGCGCATTCTCTCAAACATGGGGCATTCCTTCCGCCCCTACGTAGGTTCCACAAGCCAGCCGCCATCGCAATTTTCTGCCCCAAACCAAATCCTGTTTTGTAGGGGTCTGGGTTGTTGGAAGGGCAGGAGATGCGATGCACCAAATGCGAAAAGCTTGCCACATGCCCAAACCAAATCGGGGCCCTCCAGATTACACGCTAGCTGCCCTGGTAACCAGACGCAGCCGTAAAAGTTCGCGTCGTTGCTCTCTGATTCGTGTTTTTTCTCGAAATCGTCCTCTCATGATTCGTTTCTGCTGGTGTCCCTAAGCATCAGCAAGAGCCACCATCATGGATGAAACAAATGGATACAGTGCAGTAAAGTGCAGTACAAGAGCCGTTGAAGTTACTGTACAACAACAGCAGCAGGGGCAGGAGCAGAAAAGGCTGAAGCACGAGGAGAAATCCGAGAAACCTAGGGTTTGGTAATACTCCCAAATCCCATCACATGATCCCATACCCTCCGCCAAACCCATCCCATCCCATCCCATCCCATCCCAACCCATCGTTAACCATCTCAAACAATTTAAAAACAAGCCTAACCCATCCCAACCCATCGGGGCAAGGTTGGCCTGACTCTTCCGCAACCTTCCCCCACCGAAGCGCAAGGCCAACCTTGCCGCCACAGCAGCAGCTTAGGGCGCGTGTTTTTTGGTGTAGAAGTTCGAAAAAAAGGTCGAACTTTCGCTGGTAACCAGCTTCGCCAATTTCGTACAAAGCTATTGACGACGAACGTGTGTCCTAGCTCAAAGTTGCTGAAACAGAAGGAAACTGAACTAGGGTCGACCTCGCATTCGACTATCCCCGAGCACGTTTCTCCAATCGTGTTTTCGTCTGCCCACGCACAAAGAAGCTGCGAGATTCGCGACGGTCACGAACCACGTCGCGCAGGGTTACCGGAGTTGAAAGTGCTAACAAAATCACTGTATAGACAAGGTACTTACGAAACTTGGCGCGACTCGGATTTTACTGTACAAATTCGACCTTTGAAAGTCGAGCATTTCTTGTGCCATGTGCTCCACGTCAAGGTGAACACGCGACTCGACAATGAAATAACGAGATAGTCGACTACAGGTCGACCTGTGTTCAATTGCAAAAATTCGACTAAAAAACATGAACTTCGGCCTAAATTTCAAAAGACACGCGCCCTTAGCTTAGCAGCCCAGCACTTTGGTGAAGTGAGGAAGGTACTGTCACTCAGGCTGGTTAGAGGGAGGTTCTTTGAGTTAGTCAGGGTTACCAGGAAGGACGCAGCCAGTCTTGCGTGACGGCTCTATCTCGACACGCCTCTAGGGATATTCGAGAGGAAGCGACTGCACCTTGAGAGTTTTGCTCCAAATCATAAACCTCCTTTAGAGGTCGATTGTTCGTCACCAGATAGAGGCAAAGGCTCGTGTGAGCCTTGATTATAAGTACCAGGCGTAGAGAGCTCGTGTTGTAATTCTCGCTGTCATATCCAGACTATGGCGACACCGTTTCATTTCCAGCCGTTACCTATCCCAACGCAATCACAGCCTTCGGCCGGGAACAACTCATTCTGGCCGACAATCCAGCAGCAGCAGACCCAGGCAGCATCACCCCCCTCCACCCAGCCTCCCTCATCCACTCCTGCAGCTCCCCCATCGTTCGCCGTGCCTTCCGCCGCTCCGATGTTCCCCGCGCCTACCGCTGCGCCCTTGGCCGCCGTCCCTTCCGCTGCGCCGATGTTACCCGCACCGCATGCTGCTGGGCCTGGGTCGTCGCAGGCTCTTATGGACGCGCTGAACCTTCTACAGCAGGTCCGTCTGTTTTTATCTTCCACTATAATGAATCACATGTTGCTGGAATTTCTTGTACTTGTCGACCTGCGAGTTTCTTCCTAACGACCCAGTTACTCATCTCAATTCTGTTGTAACGTGGTTACAGAATATCGGCGCGCTGCAGTCGCTGATTCCGCTGATGTCGCAGCAGCCACCGATCTCAACCACTCCAGATCAACTCCAGCAGCAGCAGGCTGCAGCATCCGTCGGCGTCGCCTCCGTGATCTCACAACTTGCCGTCGCAGCTGCGAACATACTCCCGCAAGCCGGACTCTCCCCTCCCATCAACCCAGCGTTTGCGCGATGCAGCGGTTTCGTGCCCTCCCCGCTTCTGGCGCCTGACAACGCGGGGCCGTCTAATCCTTTATCGGTTTTTGCTTTTGTGGGTACAAATCCACGACATGTGGTTCAGCAACAGATGCAGCAACCGCAGCCGCAGCCGCCGCCGCAGCAGCAGTCCCAGGAGCCGGAACAACAGCAGCAGCCGCCGCAGCAGCTGCAGCCGCAACCGCAGCCGCAGTCACCAGCAGCGCCGGTGGTGAACGAGCCATGGCGACCAGCAGCGCTAACGCCAACTGAGCCATGCGCTGTTGCGGCTCCCGAACCCAAGCTCTTCGGAAAACCGCTACTACCTCAGAAGCGAAAGGTCGAGGAAATTGCGTTTGACGCCGCTAACGCCGAAGTCGGACCGTCTCACGCGTCGAAGAAATTAGTTCCCGCGCAGAACGCTAAGGTTCCTGGCGGTGTAAACGGGTGTGCTTCTATCGCGGATGCGGGTTTGGACGAGGAGAATGATGAGGAGTCGCCGCTTCCGGATGGAACGTTCGACATTATCGAGATGGACCCTGTGGAGCTGCTTGCGGAGCACACCCACTTCTGCGAAATCTGCGGCAAAGGTCAGTCCTCAAGCCCTATTCTCCGGCAAAGGTGTCTCCAATGAGCTTCGTATGCTATGTTTAGCTTCGGATTCCTGTCGAAAGATCAAACCTTAGCTTCTGCTAGAGCACTGCGTTGTATGAGCTTCTCTATAGCGCCTCCCGCTTTTGTTTTACTGCACCTTCTCAGGATTCAAGCGTGATGCCAACCTACGCATGCACATGAGGGGCCATGGCGATGCATACAAAACACCAGAGGCGCTTGCTAGGCCAGGCAAGCACTCTCCAGAAGCCACCGGGCAGCCTCCAAAACGTTTCAGCTGCCCGTTTGTCGGGTGCAAGCGCAACCAGCAGCACCGGGCGTTCGTGCCGCTCAAGACGATGCTGTGTGTGAAGAACCACTACCGCCGCACCCACTGCCCCAAGATGCTCTCCTGCTCCAAGTGCGGTGCAAAGCGGTTCTCGGTGGTGGCGGACCTCAAGACCCACGAGAAGCACTGCGGGCGCGACCGCTGGCTGTGCTCCTGCGGCACGTCCTTCAGCCGCAAGGACAAGCTGCTCGGTCACCTCGCCCTCTTCAAGGGCCACCGCCCTGCCAACCCCTCCCTCACTGCTGCAGCAGCTCCCACCGTCGCTGATGCTATTGCAGCAGAGGCAGCAGGGGCGGCTTTCTTGGAAGGTACAGACACATTCTCCCCGAACTATACTGGTGCTCCTCCCCCCCCGCCTTCTTTCCCATCTTCGGTGGTATCTTTTTCCGGTAAAGGAAAGCAGCTTGTCCAGAAGGGGATGGATGGGGGTGCAGGAGAGGTTGGCCCTGCTGTCAGCTCTCAAAGCACAAATGTGGATATTGGGAAACACAGCGGAAGCGGGGGTGGTAGCAATCGTTGTTCACGCATCGACTGTTTTTCTTCAAATTTGAACCTGAATGGTGCTGCACTGGCGCAGTGCGAAGGCGATACGGAAGAGAGGGAGGTAGAGGTGGTGTTGTACCGACAGCAACCTTGTGTACAGCTGTGCATTGGACAAGTGATAGATGTGCAGAAGAGTGAGGAGAGGGAATGAGAAGGATTGATTCTAAATGTTGTTGGGGTGGTGGTTGGCATTTGTCCGTTTTCAATCTCAATTTGCTGGTTGTGTGTACGTGCCTTAATACCGTATGCTTATTTCAAATATGCTACGTAGCTCCTTCGGCAATGGTTTAGCATGTTGGGCTGAAGTGCCCTAGGATCTTTGTAGAGTTTAAGTCTGAGTAGAATTGTAGTAGCGGAAGCGTTTGAATGAAAGTACTTGAACCACCTTGCGCTAGTCTGTGAGGGCAAAGTAAGTTAATTAAACAAGCAAATACCGTATCCCCCCGGATATACCCCCATGGGGGGCAATAATAAAACAGGTTTTTTCATGGGGGTGGGCTTATAATCGAGTAAATTTATAAGCGCCGGCGTTTATAAAATGACATACATATTTTTTTATATCTTTTAACACCAAACTGTAGGTCTCGTGCTTGCCTTTTCAATCGAGTCGAAGTTACATGGGATCGTCTGTGAAATTCTCGCGCGCGCTGGGAGATACACCCAATCTGACTCACATCCAGCTCCTGACAGGTCCTGCTGACTGGACCCGCATCCAGTGCAGGGTCCGAATGTGAAGGGAACCGAATCTGCAACATATCCGCCTGCTAAAGTAAAAATCGTTACAGCTTTTTGAACACATTTCAAATTTTAAAGTTTACGTGCGCTTATAATAAAACAAGTTTTTTCAAGGGGTGCGCTTATAATCGAGGAGGGGATATAAGCGCCATATGCCAATTAGAAGCGCCAGACGCTTATCCTAGGGTGGCACTTATATCCGGGGGGAGACGGTACAGAGGTTTATATAAGAGTATGATAATTTTTGAAAGTGTAATGAAATGTAACACTTTCTAAAATTTTGTATTGAGAAAGCTTGCTTTCTTTCTTATCAATTGGCATCGTTCTCATTACAAACGGCGTATTACAACATTTGCATCATCGTTCGACATAAGCTAGTGCGGACTAATAACACTAGCTATTATGTACCCTATCCAAGTGGCATTAGCAAGGCGGTTTACACTGGGGTGGGTGGTGGGAATGTTGAGTGAGCCGTTTGAAAATTGAGAAACGTGGGTGGAGGGAAATGAGCTCCAACCCACGGTTTTTGTAGTTGGAGAAGGGCGTTTAGCGCGCTTCGACGATGCCAATTGTGCAGTACAAGCAGCTTCGCTTTCACAATACACAATTTTAAAAAACACTACATGTGTGTTTAAAAATTATAATATTGAGAAAGCTTGCTTTCTTTCTTATCAATTGGCATCGTTCTCATTACAAATGGGGTCTCTGAGACATGGGCAGCGGGGGCCTCCGGTTGCGTACGAGTGCCTCTGTGTGTTGCGCCGATGACACCGCATGCGTCGAATCTTGTAGGGTACGGGAGGCTTCGATGAGGGGCTCGACGTATGGCGTAACATACATTTCCTTTGCTGTGTCGCTTCGCCATCTGCCCAGCCGTTTGAAGACTCTGTCTGGCACTCCCGTGTTGGCTGCTACTGTGGCTGCACCTTTTCGGAAAGAATGGGTGCCTAGCTGCAACTCTCCAAGGCCAACCTTTGCGAAGGCTTCCTTGCACCAGTTCCGGATCGTAGTGTATGAAGGTGGCCTAGCCTGGCCCTCTCTGGTTGAACCGTGACCGAAGACACGAATCAATGGTCCCTCTGACCGTGGGCCATAGCCAGCGAGTCGGATGAAGCGTCGGGTGCAGCGCACTGGGCAGCAGGGGTCCGCCGTTGCTGCAATGGGTATCCAAGTGCCGTGACCAGCTTGATCGGTCTTGGAGTGTGGTATGAGAATCCACATGACCTCGTCGTCGAATTGGATGTCTTGCCATTTTATGGCTACTAGGTCAGAGTATTGCAGGAATCCGGAGTACATGAGGATGGGTATCAACCCTTTCTGAAATTGCGCAGGATCGTCGGACTGCAAGTAGCTCGCGGCCATTTCCTGGACTTGTTGGATCGAGACGGGTTCCTTCAGACGAGTAGGGCGTGGGCAGTGTCGCTTTGCATAGTCACGGACTTGGGTAGTGAACGGTCCGGTTGTCGGGCATTTGCTCCCGGTCATGCGATGGGCGAAGCTGACCGCCGAGCAGGTTAGCTGCACTACGGACAGGGTTGTGAAAATGAGTAAGCAGGAATGAAATGACTAAGGAAAGGCTGGATACAAATACAACCCTAGAAACCCTGTACCCCATATGTGCTACCCCACTATAGCCTACAGCAACTATGTCATATAAATCTGACACACCCCCATAGGCAAAGTGGGGGAGAACAAGGGGTCACAAGACCAGTCAAGCAAAGCAAAGCAAGCTCAGGGTGGATCACAAAGTCACCACACAGTCCGAGCACAAGAGTAGGGCCAGAGGCCAGTTCACATGCAGGAGTACAGACATATATATAAAACTAGACAAACAAGAGCAGGCATATATATATGTCACAGTACAAGTGAAGTCAAGAGGAGAGCAAGTGAGGCAAGACAGGCACAAGACCCAACTGGGTGCAAAAGCGCTGATGGTCACAAGGCGCGAGTGCCTTGGTGAACACATCAGCAGTGTTGGCCTCAGAGGCCACGTACGCAAGTCGCAACTGACCACGCTGCTGCAGCTCACGAGCAAGGAAGTAGCGGAGAGCAATGTGCTTCGTTCTGTGCTCCAAGCGCTGCTCTCGACACAAGGCCAGCATAGCCTTGTTGTCTACGTACAGCACTGGAGGAGAACGAGGCGACTCTCCAAGGTCAGTCAGCAGGTAGGTGAGCCAGCGAAGCTCCTGTGCAGCCATGGCCCCGGCGTAGATCTCAGCCTCACAACTGGAGCCGAGAACCAAAGACGAGCGAGTAGACCGCCACGAGACAGAGCCGGAACCAAGGCTGAAGGTGTAACCCTGTGACGACCGCTGCGTAGCCTGGTCGTCAGCCCAAGAAGCGTCCGCGTGGCCGGTAAGGACCACTGGACTCCGCCCTCCAAGCACTAGCCCCATGCCCGACGTACTGCACAGGTAGCGCAATACCCTCTTCGCTGCAGCCATGTGCTCCGGTCTGTGTCTCCCAGGAGCAACATAGCGTGCAAGAATGCTCAGAGGGTATGCAAGGTCAGGTCGTGTGCAGGTCATCAGGTACATGAGGCAGCCAACAAGCTCTGCATACGGACCACTCGACTCTACGGACTCATCCGAAGGCAGAGCTGAGAGTGAGTGGCGAGTAGGCAGAGGAGTGGCCTGAGGCGAGGAGTACGTGAAGCCGAAGCGCTGAAGGACCTGCTGCACCATGTGTGACTGAGTCAAGGTAATGGTGCGGCGTGCTCTGTCCCGAGTGATCTGCAAGCCAAGGTAGCTGCGCAGTTCACCCAGGTCTGTGCACGTGTGTCTCTTCAGCAGCTCGGACTTCACGTAGGCGAGTCCAGCAGTGTCTGCTGTGGCAAAGACCAAGTCGTCGACGTACACGAGGATGTAGAACGGCGGCAGGGAAGTGTCGGTGCAAAGAAACAGCGACGGGTCAGCAGTAGAAGGAGCAAACCCAAGAGCCGCAAGCGTAGTCCTCATTGTGTCGTGCCACTCACGCGGTGCCTGGCGGAGACCGTAGACTGGCCGTCGGAGGCTCCACTGGGTGCCAGGAGGGAAAGTCCCAGTGAAGCCAGGTGGACGGCGAAGCCAGATCTCCTCGTGCAGGCTACCCTGCAAGAACGCAGTGCTGAAGTCGAGAGAGTGAAGCTCGTAGTCGCGCTGAGCGGCTATGTGCAGCAGCACCCGAAGAGTAGTCATCTTCGGGGTGGGAGAGAAGGTCTGAAAGTAGTCAACTCCCTGCCGCTGACTGAAGCCACGAGCAACGTACCGTGCCTTGAAGACAGGTGGAGAGCCCGGCGGCCGCTTCACCCTGAAGATCCACATGCCACTGACGATGTTCGCCCCAGGAGGGGGAACCGCGTCAACGTAGGTGCCTGTGGACTTCCAGGAAGCCATCTCTGCAGCCATAGCTGCCTGCCACTGAGAGGAGTAGGGACCCTCTACGGCCTCCGCGTAAGAACGCGGAGTCGGGATGTCTAGTGCATCCGGGTCTCCCTCAGGGGCAAGCAGTACAGACGCGAGATGAGGTGAAGCAGCCGCTAGACACTGTAACTCCTCCTGCCTGTCCTCTAGGACGTCCGTGCTAAGAGCACACTCACCCCCGACGGACGGAGGACAGACAGACGCAGACTCAGCAACAAGACTAGCAGTGTAGTCGAGACGACAGCGAGCAGCAAAGTCGACGAGCTCAGCGACTAGAGCAGACGCAGCAGTGGACTCAAAAGAGGGGTCAGTGACGACAGTAGCAAGCAGACGCGTGACAGTAGGACTGGCAGCACGAAGAGAGTCCGACTCAGGGTCGGCAAGCGCAGGAAGAGAGGACTCAGGAGGAGAAGGCAAAGGGGCACGCAGAGGAGCAGTGGACGGACGCAAAGACATCCGGTGCGTGCCAGGGACAGGAGGAGGACGCTGACGCGAACTGCGACCACTAGCGCGAGCAGCACGAATAGGCGACGCGGGACGAGACGCAGGCTCACGACGCTCAGCAAGACCTCCAGTAGGACCAGTGTAAGGAGAGGGAGCAGGCAGTGGAGAGGAAGGCTCCAGCAGGGACTGCGACTGGACAGGCGGTGGACCCTCTACCGGAGGAGAAAGACCAAGAACCTGCTGCAAGAGCGGAACGAAGTACGGCCGAGGCCGCGCGGCAGCTCCAGACGCAGCAGGGTCTGCACCACCACCCTCAGCGACAGCACCAGCGCCACCCACACCTCCAGTGGCAGGACCAACAGCAGTAGGCTCAGCACCAGCTCCCTCAGCAGCTCCAGCTCCAGGAGGACCCGCAGGTCCAGCAGCTCCGGGACCGGCAGCACCCGCACCCACGACGGTCGAAGAAGCTCCAGCTCCAGCTCCAGCAGCACCTCCAGACTCAGCAGCACGCCTCCAGCGGCGAGCGAACCACTCGCGCAACTCCTGTGGAGAGAGGGGCTCCCGGCGAGAC